CTGGATTGGTCTCAGAGCTGTAGGAGGGAAATGGAAATGGCTCGATGGAAGTGATCTGACCAATCAGTGAGAGACACATTATTTCTTAAACTTTGTGTAAAACAAATCTACCAGCCTTGATTTAACTGATGTTTTTTCCTTAGAGCCTGGATACAGCAGCAGAAAGCCACTGATGGTCAATGTGTAACTTCTCTCCAGAACCGAGAATGGACATCAGTGAGCTGTACTGAAAAAAACGCCTGGATCTGTGAGAAGAAGGCTTTATCTGTTTAAACATGAAATGTTCAGGTTTTTGACAGGCTGTTTGGAAAACCTTATTGAAGACTTATGCATTTTTCTGGTTTAGTTTTTTTGATAAGCTATTTTTAAAAGGCTTTACATGTTTCAAATGTTTTTTTCTGATGATTTGTCTGAAGATGTAAATTTAAAGTTTATCAACAGATTCAAAAGTCAGACAAAATGACTTTTACGGTTCCTGAAGTTTTTACTGATGGTTTTTGAAGGAACTTTAAGTGGTTTCAGCATGATTTTAGGATTCCCACTGCCTGTGAATCTTTCTTCAATAGTTAAGATAATTTGTGTATATAACCATTACAGAAGTTATTTTGTTACACAGGATAACACAATTATTATTTTTAAAGATGAGAATTTAAAAAAATGTCTGCCTTTTTCTTTCTGCCATTTTTTCCTATCATTTAGCTTATCAAACATTTGTGGAGCCTGATTTTAATTAAGAATTCCACAAAGATGACAATAAATCTCTTCATTTTAAAGCAAACAGTTTGGAAGTGAATCTTTCAGTTATCATGTTCCCTTGAATTGATGCAGTTTTCTGTAGGACGTACTATTGCCTTTTTATACTGCTGCAGCTTTAAAATGTTACAGATGGAAAACAGAAAAAGCACACAAGCCTGAGAAGAAGCTCACTATACTAAACTGTGGTATTATGGTCTGTCTAGACCACAACATAAATTTCATGCATCATTGTCAAACCTCAACCAGCCATAACACTCGGTTGTACAATTTTACAGTGATTTATTTACAAGATTTTAGTTTACATTGGATTTTAGCACTAAAAATGAGCTATGTGTAACTTTTGGGTGAACTTTATGAATAAAAAAATAAACAAAAGTAATCTAAAGTACCAACCAAACTGAAATATTCAAAAGAGTGGCTGGTTAGGATGAGCGGAGGAAAAGGACGAATGATGTGTTGCAGTGTCTTCTTATATGTCTCCTCTGCTTAGATAAGCGGCCCGTACTTTGTGTCCTGAGTCCACCAATCATGATTTACATATTCAAAGCAATGCAACGCCTAACACGCCTAACAATTAAACATGGCCCTAAATGTTTATGAGTCACTAAAAACTAGACACTACCCTTACTCTTTTTGTAATTTACCTAAAAGTTAAAAACTGTCATCAACTGAGTAAGAAACACTGATGGATTGATCAATGCAACATAAACGTCAAAGCTCTGTAACTTCCAACTGCCACCATTTTAACTGTAATACCTTTTATAAATGCGTTAATATTTCAGTGTTTATTTTTTAATGCTATATTAGATTTGTAGGTGAATAATTCACAATGCACCAGTCATTATTTATCATATAATACATTACAGACATTGTCATCAAGAAACAACATTTTAATGGATGTGACCAGTTGCTGCTTTTGCCTTATTTCAATAGCACTAAAATATGACCCAAAAATAAAATGCTTGATTTTGTGTTTTTGCAGTTCACTTACTGAATTATTCTTTGCGAGGAACAAGGAAACCAATGACCTAGATAAGCTGGCCAAAGTCTTGTTGGTTTAGGAGTTGATCTGAATAAAAAAGCAGAAGTATGCAAATCAAGAACAATAAAAAGAAACACCAACAGAGGAAGCAACTTCCTATTACCTCTCACTTTGAGTTCTGATTCAGTCTACGAGTCGGATCAAGATCAACATTAAGGCTGTAGATATGGCAGAGGAGGAGGTGAGCTATGCTTCAGTGGCCATCAAAAGTAAGAAGCAGCCCCAATCAGAAGGTAAGTTCATCTGATTTTGCTTAAATTCAGTATATTATCCAACAGTTTAATTCAGTCTTTCCGTATGCCAGGGCTGTTCAGACCTTTTGTCACATGAGTCAAATGGGCTCACAAGTCATAGAGATTATTATTGAAAATGTAAAATCCCCCCAAATTATATTGATAACTTAGCTTACTCATCCATCTCCAAAGGTATATATGTTAGTTTATTTACAGCTAAAATGAAGCGGTTAGATATGTTCATCAGGAAGACTAGCTCAGCCTGAGCATGACCTCGTTACCCAGATGAAGTGAGAGACAGAAGAACTTTGGCTAAAATAAATCCGAGCATCACGGCTCCCAACAAACTCGGATCTACGCACACATAGTCACATATTGTACTTTTTTTAAATGCCAATGTTCAGTTGCACATTTATTTTTATCTGAATATGATATATTTATAGTTTTGTGTAACTATGTAAAACTGTATAGTTTTCTTCTATGGTTTTAATTTTTGCTGACTGTATATTCTGTTATTCCTATTTTTTTCTGTTTATTATGACCTGCTTCTGCTAGTACTCCTGAATTTTCCCATTGTGGCAAAATAAAAGGTAGTTCTAATGTATCTATTTCATTGCGTTATATCAGTAAGCAATAAATTAAGAGTACAATATTTTTTATCAAACAAAACAGCTTTTTTTATTTCTTTCAAAATGTTGATCTTGGTAAAGAAATGGCTCAGACATCCCCTCATCCACAACCAGAAAATTATTAATATATTCAAATTTCACTTCAATTTTAATTTCTTGAACAGTTATCCAAAATGTTTTTGATCTTGAAATAAACTGATTAGTATATTATACATAATATTGATTAGTAAGTGTTTTAGTTGTTCTGTTCATTTTTAATGTGTTGCTTTCTAGTACAGTTCATGGCCCAGTTCTGCATTTCATTTGTATTTAGGGAACTATGATCTACATTTCCTAAGTTGTGTTGCAGTATACATTTTGACAGCTTAATTTATTAAAACACAAAATGGCATCTTTGTTATCAAAAGTAAAGAGAATAAAATAATGTCTGTATGTTACATATGTTTGACTAAATACTCGCTGATCTTTCAGGTAAAAATGAGAATGAGACTGTGTATGACGAAGTTAAGGTGAATAAAGAGAGTAAGTATGAAATAGTAAAGATTTTTAAGTTTATCCATAACAAACCTTAGAAAGTTCTAGTAAAGCAAATTAAAATTTCAACCTTTTCAGCTAAAGTTGTGGATGATGCTGAAGTGGAGAAGCAGAATGAAAGTGTTCAGCAAACTGCTGACACAAACGGTGAGAATATAAAAAAATAGATATATAATATTAAAGTTGTCATTATTTGCCTCAATTCTAAGGATAAGTCAATATCAAGTAGAAACATGTAAAATGCTGGTTATCTAATATTTGAAGTCTTTTTTGATGTTTCAAAAGAGAGGACAAATTGTTCTCCTTTTACGCTGACTTTGAGAGATTTCTTTGAAATAATTAAAAAAAAAATCTTAATGACAATAATTTTAAGCTATAATATTCCAGGATATTAATGCTTTTTTGAACTGAAAATTTAAAAGCAATCATGATCCAACACTATGGCATTTGGGTTGTTGCTTCAAACCTACATTCTGTTCATGTCAGTCATTTTCTTTGACAAGACACTTCATCTGCTTTGCCTGCAGATTTTATGGCAGCCTTTCTCCTGTCATTTAGCTCCAGGGCAGCTGTGGCATAATGGTGAATGTAAAGCTCCATGTGCTTTGGAGTTCTCTTGACTGGATTAAGTGTCATTGCAGGCTATTTATTAGTATTAGAGAGTGCTTTTGTTTTTTTTGTTTGTTTTTTTTTTTTGTAATATAGTAAAAATACTTTATCTCCAGCTACAGACAGACAGAAAGGATAGTAGAGGCTTCTTTCTGTTTATATTTTAAAGTTCATCTTTGTTGTTTTAATCTCTGTAGGACTTCTGCCAGACAAGGCAGCAGAAAGATGTCGCCGCTATCAGCAGCTGTGTTTCTGCTTTGGGACTCTGTGTGTCATTTTGGTACTGAGTGTCATTGGAGTCTGTGTTTATTGTAAGTATACAGAACTAAAAAGCCATGAATGTAACTTCTGTACATTTGATATGGTCTCTCTTATAACTTTGTTAGTGTATAAAAGAGATCAATCTTGAACAACATATTGTAATGGTGCTGGATTGTTTATTTCAGCTAGTTGGATTATTGGTTCAGATTAGCTAATAACTCAAAGAAGAGGGTCTTACCTCTAAAGATTTTCACCTTTATATGATGATAGATACATCATTTTTATCTTTTTTAAAAGGTTGTTTATCTTGAAACTTAGTAGAAAGCAAAATTCAAATCTAACATAATTTTTTATGAAGCATTTTTTCATTTTTTAGTTACAACAGCTTGTGAGAGCACTGCAAGTGAGTTGAACCAGCTGATATCAACCCAAAAGGAGGAAATCCGAAACCTGACTGACCTCAACAGCAAACTCAGTTCAGACAATGACAACCTGACTTTGGTTTCTATGGCTTTAAAAAACAACATCACCATGCTGACTGCAGAGAACCACAACCTGACGTCGCTTAATGAGAAGCTGAAGGATCAAAGGAAAAACCTCACAGAAATAATAGAAACCTGGAATGGGCTCAATGTCAGTCGAGCTCAGTGGAGCATTGATCAATACTGTCCTAAAAATAATAGTGGTATGTTCATATTTTAGACAAACAGTTTATGTTAAACTACAATATTATTTTCAAAACTAACTAATAACATTATGGTGTCACGTTTATTTTTTTTGAACACTTTTATTTCAGGGAGAAATTGCACTTCTTGCCAGAAAGGCTGGAATGATCACATGTCCAGCTGTTATGCATATAACTATCAACCCCCTAATCAGAGAACCTGGGAAGAAGCACGAGAAGACTGCAGAAGAAAAAATTCAGATCTGACTGTTGTGTCTAATCAGACTGAAAAGGTAATTGAAGAACTGTGGAACAGTTTTAATTAATTGAAATGTCCACTGACTAAAACAAGTTTATTTTGCAATATTTCTAAGTGCTCAATTAATTTTCACTGAATGTAAAGACAGAGAATCGTGAAAAGTTTAAACTGGTCTGATTTTCCATTATTCTCAGGATTATGTCAGTTCAATCAGTAATGGTTCAAGTGGCATTAATGGATACTGGATTGGTCTCAGAGCTGTAGGAGGGAAATGGAAATGGATCGATGGAAGTAATCTGACTGATCAGTGAGACATTATGTTTTAAACATAGTAGAAAACAAATCAATCGGCCATGATGTAACTGATGTTTTTTTTTTTTCTTTCTTAGAACCTGGACACAGCAGCAGCCTGCCATAGATGGTTACTGTATAACTTCTCTTAATGGCCGAGGTTGGAATGTGGCAGTATGTAGTGACAAGAACACATGGATCTGTGAGAAGAAGGCTTTATCTGTTTGAACATGAAGGATTCTGATGTTTGGAGGTTGTTTAAGAAACCTTGTAGAAATATGTATAGAATTGTTTTGTCACATTTCTTACCCAAGATATAGTTTATTTGTACTTATAATATCGAAATAAAAATAAACTGAAATTGATTAAAACCCAAAAACTACTGATGTGGCTCACACCAGCAGTTCATACAAAAAGTGTAAAAGTTTTGAATGTTTTTCAGTTGATTTGTCTGAGGTTCAATATTTACAGTTTATTAATTACTACTGCAATCATTTGGTTGAATGTTTGTTGAAGTTTTCAATAATATTTTTAAAGTAATTTCATATTACTTATAAACACAATCTTAGGATGCCCCCCTGTGTATATTTCTGTAATGGTTAAGATCATAAATATTTAGATGCAGTTAATTATTTAAATATATCTGAAGGAATAAAAATGGGTGTCATTTTTCATGTCACATTGTTCATCAGGACTGAATTTGTTTCTGAACTGCACAAAGATGATCATAATTCTGTTCATATTAAAGGAAATTATCTTGGTCTGGAAGTCAGTCTTTGTCTTGTAATCATGTTCTCCTGAATTCCTGCAAGTTTCTACTGTTGTTTATATTAATGTATTTTTGTATAAATTTATCTTTAAATAGTTATAGCTGGAAAACAGAAATGCAGCAGCCTAAGAAGAAGCTCCTGACACATCGTGGTGTTGTGGGCTGTGTAGCAATGGGCAGATCACAACAAGAAGAACCGTCTGTGTCAGACTTTAAACAGACACAACACATAGACTATTTTACAAGGATTTATTTACAAGATAGATAGACTGATAAAGGAGTGGCAGTTTCCATGTCAGACAGACTTATCAAGTTTATTTGCATAGCAGATTTCAACAGCAAGGCAGTTCAAAGTGAGTTACTTCATAAAAACATAAAAAAACAAAGTTATAAAACACAGTCAACAATTGAAACATATTTAGCCAAGTGACGCCATCACATATTCGAATGCAGATTAATATTTCATTTATAATGTTTCAAAAGCAACTATAAACAGTTGGAGTTTTAGTCTAGATTATTTCAAATGTTTTACAGTTTTCTGGAAGTTTGTTCCAGATTTGTGGTGCATAGAAGCTGAATGCTGCTTCTCCGCGTTTGGTTCTGGTTCTGGGGATGCAGAGCAGACCAGAACCAGACAACCTGAGAGGTCTGGAAGGTTGATACAACAGAAGGTATTTAATGTATTGTGGGGCTAAGCTCTTTAGTGATTTATAAACTAAAATCAGTATTTTAAAGTCTATTCTCTGAGCTACAGGGAGCCAGAGTGGGGCCGTTAGAACTGGATGGGGTGATGTGCAGCTGCAGCTGTTTGATTGATTTTTTAGGCAGACCTGTGAAGACACTGTTGCAGTAATCAATGCAACTAAAGAAAAACACATGGATGAGTTCCTCCAGATCACGCTGAGATATTAGTCCTCTAATTCTAGAAATGTTCATCAGTTGATGGAAGGCGGACTTTGCAATTGTCTTTTTGTGGTTCTGAAGGTAACACTGCCATCTACAGACTAACATTAAAAAGGAGAAGGGTACAACTTTATGGTGACCTTTATGCTTAAAACAAAAGGAAGCTGTAAAAAATGGCAGAATGCAACAAATTGTGAAGAACAAAATTTGACAAACAATGTTTTTCTGTTAAGTCTTTTTAGTTTTCTTTTTTATGTTGACTGTAAACAAACAGAGTAGAAATAAGCAGTGCTAATATTCTGATTGGCTGTTTCTGACTGAGCGGTGTAATTCTGCAGATGGCAGAAGCACCGTATGAGATTTGTTTCCACAGATAATCTCTCTCATGTTATACTGTCAGGACATAATAATAGTTTTAGCAAATATCAACAACAACAAAAAAAGAAACATTGTCGATGTTACCACCTACTAGAGCTTAAACGAAAAACAAAGTTGATCAAATTTTGTGTCACATCATTTTATTTACTCCCCTTGAGGAAAAAGATGCTCCACAAAGGGGCGGAGAGGGCAGAGGAAGAGAAGAATCCCAAAACCCAAAACCTTAGCATACAGTATTTCAATTTAGAATGTAATTTATTTATATTTATTGTTTTTACTTGCACATACATTTTTTAAAAGAAGTAATGAGAGGGAAAAGAAAATTAAGTCAGATTTAGAAAATAAGTCTTCAAAATAAATTTTCTTCGTATTTCAGGGCTTTTTTAACTCTTTTCTCACCAAAATAAGGTAAACAGGAGATAAATTGGATTAAAATTAAGGTAGTAGACCGGTAGAAAATAAAATAAAATAAAATAAAAACTGGACTGAAAGATGTCATTTTTAAGAAATTATTTAACTGTTAAAATAACTTTTTCAATAAGTTTGCTGATGATTTTTTTTTTTTTTTTTTTTTTTTTTTTAACTTTTTTTTTTAAAACCTGCATGGCAAAAAACCTAAA